CTTCCCGCGGCAAAAAGACGATCTCCGTACAAAAGAGCGAGAGAGAAAGGGGCAGAAGAAGATGAAGAAGAAGTAGCAGAAGAAGAGACGGGCGTGTGGCGTGCGTTCGTCGTACGGGACGTGTTATTAGCTCGGCACTCTCTTTCTCTCTCTCTCTCTTTCTCTGTGTGCATCCCCCTTTATTCATCTTCTTCCTATTTCTTATTTTCTTCCTCCTTCTTATTCCTCTTCGTCTTCGTCTTCCTCCTCCTACTTCTCCTCCTACCGTCGTGGTCTTCTCTTCTTTTTTCTCCGATTTCCTATGCGGGGGCTAGAAACGCGTTTAATTAACATAGCTGGCATGACTGCATCCCTCTTCTCTCGGGGACCAGTCAGCTTTTACGGGCCATTGCACGCACGATGCACGTATGTATTACGAGTCTTCCTTCTCTCCACCTTCTCCTCTACCGTCTTCTTCCACCCTTCCTCCACCGCAATGTGTGCACGTTTAGGGTTGAAAGCGTCAGGCATATATAGTACCTACTCGTGGACACATCAACGCTATGTGTAATTCTCGAGAAAATTATAACTGGAAAATTCTCGTGAAAAATTTCTCGCTTTTGCGAAAAAAATTCTTCAGATGTGGTAATGAAAATTAAAATCGTCGCTGATCAAAGATGCATGTCGAATCTATTTTTGATCAATTTAATAAGATTAATCTTTATAGTTGGGAAAAATTTTAGGCTGATTCTTATAAGTATCTTAAAAAGTAAATTGCATTTCTTTATTCCAATTGCGTTTTTTAATTCGATCATTGGGATAATTTTGACAATTCTCTCATTCAAGACAAATTGCGCCTTTGTATTCCAAAAAATGTTTTTTATGCAAAAATTTTTATGAAACATTTTATAAGGAAATGAGAAAATTGGAAATCATTAATTATTTTGACAAGTGTACAATAAATTTCGTATAAATACAAGTTTTTGAGGAAATTCGTCCGCCTTTCGTTCCTAATAAGCTTGACAAAACATGCATGATGCGAATCTTTGAATTCATGCAAAAAATTTAGTGACAACAAGCGCAGATAGAACGAGAGTTCTGAATTGTTTCCCGCAGTTCTTGCACACGCGAATATTCGTACACGTTCTCTGAAATAACCCGGATAATGCAACGGGCATGCAACGTTTTCGCGGTGTATTATGAAGGTATTATAGTGTGAGTTTATAGTGGATTTTTTCGCGAAATTAAAAGCAGGACGATATGAATATAAAAACTGTTACTATTAATAATAATCAAGTATTATCATAGCATATTGTAAATGACAGTAATGTGAAAAATAAGATAACGAAATAGTAAAACTATATTATACACATATTATCAATTATAAATTATAATATATATAGGATATTTAAAATACGTAAATCACACATACACAAATCTAAGTTCATCGAGCGAAAGGGTTCCTTACTTTCATCTGTAATCACGTTGCCGTAGTGTTCCTTCAATATATCTAACTCACCGCAGCGCACGATACAATGAACACGTGCTTGTATTATCTATAGGTGGAATCTAGAGTTTCTTTCTTTTTTTATTGTTTTACTTGTTAGTGGCCAAATAGAAAAAGAAACCTTTCACAAGGCAAGCAAAAAATTAACAGGTGTATGATACAACAAATAACGTTTCTTAGAAATAGTTGAAATTCCTTCAAATAAATAAAATATTATTTTTAAGAAAATATAATCTTTGCTCTCTTTTCTACTGCAAATTTTGGCATTTTTAAAGAATGATATTATACACCCTTTGTTTCCGATTTATTAATAGAAATTAATCTATAATATTTTGGCTCTGATGCATTCTTCTCTCATGTCGCATGAAAGATATGTGTGTGCGTGTACGCGTATTCCGCAAGCAAAGTACCATGTGTTCCGTGAAGAAAAAAAGGAGAAAGAAGAAAAAAGAAAGGGAATTAGAGAGAGAAAGAGAGAGACAGCGGATATAACGCATGCCTACCCACGGAAATGCGCTTTTTGACGGATCGCCCGACTAATTCGGTGGTTGTCACCGCGTACGCGTGAGGATTAATGACGACCACCTAGCTGTACCCGCCGCGAATTCCTCGGAAATTCTTCACCCCCGAGGAGCAGTCCGGGAAGTATTTGCTTAATTGGGACTTTCAGGCCGCTAATAATTACGGTAATAATAGAGCCCTAATTCACTCGACGACTTTACACGTGTTTTGTGCGAGGACGAAGGAGCTTTGATTTTTTTTTCTACTTGCAATTTTGGTGCAATATTTATTGACTCTTTTTGTTCATACAAATTGCAAAGTCTATACAAAAGTTTATTAAGAAATACTCTCTCGTCTACTAAAAAATATTAATATCTACCACAATAAAATATAAAATATGTTTGATTTTATTTTACTATGTACATATTAATTATTTTTTATTGTGATAAATATTAACAAGAGAAACTCTTATAAAATTCTTCCAGTACCATATTGTCCCACGATTACCTTGATTTTCAGGGTAAATTCTAAAAGAAAATTCTTTCCGTGTACAAATTGCAAAATGCGAATAATCTGAAATAAAATAATCTATTTTGTGAAATATATAAATTATGATATACATTCAAAATTGAGGGAATTATATGTATTATTAATAAAGATCAATATTAATAATTAGCTGAGTTTGGACAATTACGATATGATAATAATGGGCTTAACTTGAAGTAGATACTGCAATATAGCATAAAAAGAAGCGCAAGTATAATATTTATTTACGAAATGGGATAATTTAAATATTCACAACAAAAATGTATAATTTATTTTAAAAAATTATTTTTGTAATAATTTCTTGATTTAATTAATTGCGTTGTATTATTTTTAAAAAATATTGTTTAGACTAATTTTTCTCATTGCTTGACATACCTACGTATGTATGTCATTTTTAAAAAATATTATTTAAGACCAATTTTTTTACTGCTTAAAGTATATGTATGTGTGTACATGAATGTAAAAATGTTGAATGTATATTCTTCATATTTCTTTCCAACATGAAACTAGTAGTGCTATCTCGTAGCATTGGAAAATAAGAGAGCTTCAAAATGTTCTTACCATTTCACGATAACTTCGAACTTTTTGGATTGGCATTCTTATAATAAATTGTAGAAATTTCTGAGTATTCATATATATTACATAAAACAATAATATCGTAGCTTTCTATTTTTTTATTTCTTATATATATTATTTTTTTAATAGAATGAATAGAAAGATTAAAATTATTTTTTTTCTGATTCGAAAAGTCTATTTTAATCTATTATGCAATAGTTTTCAATATTATTTATATAATATAATATAACACATTTGTCAATTATGTTTTAAACGTCAATTGCATATTTTAATTATATTATTATATAAAATTTCATTATTATTTTAAATTAATATATTGCTAATTGTTGACACATTATTATTGATGATTAGTGCATATTGATTGTTATATATTTGTAATTTAATACAAATCTATTCATTCTGTTCCAGTTAGTACTCTACCTCCTAATTATTTCAATTCTTTTTCTCATCATATACTTTATAATTAAATTATATTTACTAATTATATGAGAAAGAATTAAGAAGAAAAAAGCATAATTTAACATTAATTACATCAATTACAAACATTTATATTACAAAAGTATACCGCATGTAAATCTCTCTCATGACATTAATATAATTATACCCAAATATACACTATGGAAAGAAAAATATTTATACGATAGGTCGATGGAAACTAAACTATACTAAAGTTTTTATTAAAGCTAGATTAAAGATTAAAAATCGAAGTTGTGTATTTGATGATTCTACTTGCGATCTATTTGAGAAACTTGAAGTGTGCACAATGATGAACGACTTGGCACGTAATCTGCGACGATGTGAGACGATCAGTGAACGAAAAAGAGATCGTGAATGACTCACATTTTCGGTTGTAATGTCATCAAGAGATTTAACTAATACTAAAAGCAAAAGCTATTACACGTCCTAGACCCTTAACGCGTATTCACGGTCAGATCTGACGATTGAACTCTCGATTGTCTGATAAATTAAAGTGGAATGATATGAATACAATATATTTTTTCATGCGATGTGATAAAACGAGTAAATTATCGAATATTACGAATAATTTAATATGTGCGAATAAGAAATATTAATCAAGAAAAAAGTAACTTTATAAAAAAAGTACGATTTGATTTATATTATATATGAATAGTTAAATTTACGTACTACTTTTTCCAGAAATTTATAATGACAGTTGAATGTATATGAAAAGTTATTTTAACTTTTAACGCAAGTATAACGTAATCAATAATTTACTGCTATGCATAAGAACACTTCAAATTTTGTATAAAGATGATAAGCCACGTTACCATGTTAAATTATATATAGGTGTAGAGTCTTTTTATCACTGATATTATACTATGCAATTTTTTTTTACATCTTTATAGTAATATTATCATATTGGTGATTTTCCGAATAATAGCTTTGACAAAACCTCTTCACATTTGTCTAATAAATCAGACAGAATAAAAATAGTATAATTCTAATATTTGTTCACAGAGAATCTGAAACAGTATGACATTAACATATGAATCTTATCCATTCCCAACTATTATTTTATTTATTAGTTGCACGTGTCTCGGTTCTCTCTTCTGTATATTTTGCGACATCAAAATAGGTATCAGAAATTTTCTTTCCGCCATTATAACGACTTTTACCTATCCAAAGGTGCACTTCTGAGATTCAGAAAAGCAATAAAACTTAGCGACCCTGAAGATTGATCGACCTTCGTCGGTCGGTCATGATCGGTGCATCGTAAACAGACGCGGAATGCGTCGTAGGACGACAAGAAGTGGCGGAGACATCGTCGAAGGTATCCTCGAGAGGAGAAGAGAAGATCCTTCTATTTCGGGCCTCGCGTCTCTCGATGACGTCGCATGGACGGAAATATCATATGGTTAGGGAGGTGCAGTCCGCGGGATCTGCCTGTTGCGCGGTCCAGGTCTCGATCTTTCCCAGAGTCGCGCAAAAATCCTCGACTTCGTCGTGGTTTAGTCACTTCTCTCGTTGAAGGACGAAAAGAGAGAAAAAAAGAAAGAAAGACGTAGTGCCGCCATCTCAACGATCGTACAAACCTTCGGGGATCTTCTACCCTCTCGTCGTAAATTACATTTTGGAATTTATATCCCCAAACGACGTTTTGGCGAGAAAAGTGGGTCGAGTACAAATCTCCCCCACGCATTGGTCCCCACTTATCGCGGTCGATCCAGGAGTCTGTCAGTGGCGTATCGCACAAGTCCTCGGGAGAATCATCGTGCTCGTCCGGCGGACGACAAGTCGTCGGTTAACACAACGTGTCAAACGCGAGAGCGTCTTTGAAGATTGAGACAAAAGTAGGATTTCCTCCCTTTCCCAGTAAAGAAAGGAGCTTGCTGAGCAAAGATGCCTGGCGCCGGTGGTCAGCCACCGCAGAGGACCACCTTCCGACCCCCATGGGTCAAGGATGGTCCCAGTCCGTTGCCTATGCCCAGCGCGCCCTGGACCCTTAATTCCCGCCGGGATTCTAAGCCTAAGACAGACGAGGTTCCTGCTTTCTCCCAAGTCACCTTGAAGGTGAGTGGAAAAACTCTGACCTATAATCGATGATTCTCTTTATGATAATCTTGAGATACGTTGCTCCGAAATAAAAGTGTCTTTTTTTCAATTCTTGGAAGTGATAGAAAAGTTTCCTGGTGGAATATTGAATCGTTCTGGTAATTCCTTGGAGACAATTCTATATTTTTGCGATTTTGCAAAGAAACTTTTCTTGGGTTTTCGTAAGAAACCTGAGAAAAAATTGAAATATGTAAAAGTGACTAAATCTGTCTGAAAAATAATATATCTTTTATTTTATGATATATTCCGAAGAAAGACGTAGAATGATCAATTGTATGATTTATTTGAAGACTTTTGAATTTGTAACAATAACAAGATATATTTTGTTATAGTTAGAAAATATTAGTATGTATATATTTTTCATCATTAATTTCTTTTAATCACTAATTGCATTGATAAAAATACGTTACATTTTATAATACAGATTAATTTATTAAATAATCTATTTTTGTATAATTTTATTTTTTTTACTCTAATAATTATATTTTAATGTCAGTAATAAAGAATATATTATATTATGCTGCATGCTTAGTAATATTTAAATTACTAAAAGGAACTTTTAGCAAAATAAATTCCAAAATTGTTAGAAAATGCCAGAATTAATTTCGAATCTGTGCCATTTGTTTAAAGACAAGAACGAGTTTATTCAAACATAAATCGTAGCTTTTCTTCGCATTGAAATCCGCTAACACAATTCGCGCCTGTTTCCATCGAAAGCACGCATGAGTAGCCTGTACTATGTGACTTTTGCAGTCTTTTTCCATTCAGCTATTGGGTTTCAAAGTCAGCGGACTTCGCTATACTACCGTGATATTAATAGCCGATGTAGGTGTCTTGCAATGAGTTAACGTGATAAACATTTCTGGTGGCGCACAATCTGTTGTATCCAAACAGTGCACTTTAAGATAATTTATGATTTATAAAAAAAATTCATCTCTCTTTTATGGTACAATTTTTTGTATAAAAATCTATGATTATTTGAATAAATAACTTGCTAATTTGTTTTGTGAAAATAATTATAAATTACTAAAAAATTTTTTACACTAATGGATCATAGAAAAACGCAAATGCATCGACACTGCATTATGATGCAAATTAACTTAGAAGAATTCACTACTTAGATCATTGCTATGTGTGTTATATTTATTTTTCTATAACACATTACATGAGGAAATTCTCAAACGATTACTTTTGATCTTTGGCGATGGTCCATAAGAAATTACAGAGATGTACAGAACATTAGAAAGCTAATATACATATAATGAAATATAATACGAGATAATGCGAAAAAAATTTAACACACTGAAAATCGCAAAGTCATGTGGACATTTGGGTGGTTTGATTAATTGCCATATTGCTGATTATCTTGTGTTTAGATTAGCAATAGAATAGATTAAACTCGTGATATAATTTATTTTAAGTTCCTTATCTTCTTTTTATATCCCTTATTTATTGTTCCTTAATCTTTTTATCATAATTAAACTATATCCCTTTAATTAGTTTTATTTATTTTATTATTATATATTTTTTCAATTATACCATAATATCTGAATGGATTATGTTAAAATTTCATAATTGTATGTATGCCAATTTTTTAGATGCATATTTTTATAATATTTGATAATTAATCAAAATAACTAGCTCGGGTAAATAATTACGATGATGAAATAAAAAGAAGTTTGAGATAATTGCAAAGAGTTTTAAGTGGTTTATAAGCGTTTGTGAAAGTATTCAGACATGCCAAAGTATACTTATCAATTACAATTCCGTTTTCTCAACGCGAAGGAAAGTGAAATTCGTCGTATGCGTGCTCGCATATAAGCCTCTGGGTCACGATTATTTAAAGAACACGCGTTTCTATTTCAAATGACTTGCCAGCTGCGTCTTCCGCCAGTTTCTTAACGCGTTTATATTGCGATCTCACTTTAATTTGTTTAAAAATTGTTAGTACAACGTCACGGATTAGAAGCCATTTTTTTATAGAAAAACATTCCGGGAAAATAATTTTTATGGGAATAAAAATCATTTTTCGAACATTTCGAAAATTGAATGATGATTCTATGAGAGCTACTTATTTGAAAAAAAATCGTAAATTTTGCATTGATTTCAGCTAAGAATGTGACATCTTAGTACGTAAAATTCAATGTGGATTATTTAAAGCTGGCTGAACAAACTCTTCGAGACTTGCCAAGAAAAGTTTTCGGATCTCTTTTTATTTTTATCTCCCTCTTTCTCTCTCTCTATCTTGAACAATCAAGAGAAGAGAAATAGGAAGAGCTTCCTCTTCCTATTTTCTATTGTAGTTATCTTTCGAAAGATGTATGAGAATTATTCTTTCGTATTTTTTTAACCTGGCGCGCGTGATTGTACAAAAAAATATATATACTTTACAAACGCACGAGAAATTGATTTACGTTGCAAGAGTGTGACGAAAACGTAAACCATGAATTGAAAATAAATGACAGTGCCAACAAAATTTGTTTCACTGTATATTGCGTTGAAACTCGATCAGTTGACAGTAAACTGAATAATGTTTATCTGGATTAATAAATTACACATAATTAATGTGTGATTAATTATAATAAATACTTCCCAAAAAATTGGGAGCCCGTTTAATTAATTTGAATAAAATGCAAATTTGTCCATTGCATTATTATATATATTTTGCCACTGTTGCAACTTTCTTAATTTTTTATAAAAAATTAAAAATAAAATTAAAATTCTTTAATATTTAAGTTAACAAATTAATCAAAATATATTGTATTTCTAATAATTTTTTTGGAGATTAGTAAATTTTTTTAATGTCATGTTGTATACTCGTATATATGTAATTGTATGTATTTATAAATCAATTAAAGTAGATGTTCTGATTCTGTTTGCGTATTGTCGATACTTTGATCAAACAAAGTGTCCCTTTTTCTCGATTGAACAGAGTGTGCCGAAACCTGCAGAGCCAACACCACCTTCAACAGATGGACAATCACGCAAGCAGAGCAAAATCACGATAATACCGAAGCAACCTAACAGTGAGAAGATACCAAGTGGTCGACCAGTGCCGGCGAAGTTACGCGAGAATGGACGACAGGAGCCAAATTCGAGGCCGCAGCTTGAACGACAGATACGCATTGAGAGATCTCGATCACGAGGTGACAGTATACCACTCTCGAAAAGTGAGAGCACCACAGGTACGTGCGATGATCACCATTTCTTCTCGCAGACTCCATCATCCGCGACATCAAACATTTAACCCTTCCAGACTTTAAACGATCGTTGACTCAGAATTAAAATTTTTTTAGCGTTCTCTTTTAAAATAAATTAAATTTTAATGAAATTTAAAATTTAGTTTTTAATGAATGTATAAAATTAAAAGTGTCACTTTACACCATCTGTCAAACGTTTGTCTGTGCTTCTCGCGCGCGCGCGCGCGTAACATAACATTTTTACACGAATCATAAACATCCCACTTTTTATATAAATAATGAGAATTCCTTATATCAAGGCGCACCAACCTTGTCGAAGAGCTCATCGCGAGCAAACTTTCCGCCACCACCACCTCCGCGACCGCCTCCACCACCGCCTGCCAGGACGATCCTCAAGGACCTTCCTCCGCTGAACGAGGATCAAATGGAGAAGCTGGAAGCACTGAAATCCAGGCCGAGAAAACGGCCGGACTGGGCTTGCATGATGAAAGAAGTCGAGAGTGGCATAAAGCTCAAACACGTCAAGTGCAATGATCGAAGCGCACCCCTGATCGAGAGGGTGAACAAGGTCACGGCCGATCCAGCAGGTGATCGTCGAACCCTCTTCGATCCCCGTCAGGTGCCCACTGGGCCAAACCTACCTCCTCTGAAGAGTTCTTTTCTTTGAGAAGAGAAGTCATCGTAGAGAAAAATTCTTCGAATTTTTCTATCTTCCGCTTTTTTTTGTTGACACGTGCAATTAAATGAAGGCACGCTAATGACATAATGTGACCGATTAAATAACAAGTTGAGGTTTTGATTAACATGTTTCGTCGAATTCCGTTTGCAAATAGCAGTATTGTTCTGTCGTTATTCCTGTCCTTTTACCCCTTTTCAACAGTTGAACCTGTTTATCCATTGTTAAATCTTTGGACTAATTAAATTGTTAATTGATTATCGTTGAATTAATGGTTGTCTTCGTGTTTGGGTTTACTGATACATCCTATTTCCCTTTTTTTTCCCTATCGTGCGAACGGCCGGCGATGAGGATCTCTCATTCTCCGAGCATTTTCGGCAGGAAATGTTATTCAACGACGGATGATTCGTCGTGACTCTTTTAAAATATGTATGTCAATGTGAAGCATTAAGTATTATCAGTTAATGAATAAGAATCTCATAAAAAATTTTACATTAAAATTGCATTTGAAATGCAATCATCAAATTGAAAGCTGTTTAGCTCTATCGTCCTCTATATATTCTTTAGTCATAAATTAATTCTAAAACAAGACAAAAATTATCAATCATTATTTAAAATTTAAACGAAATTCTTGTTTAAAATCCAGTTAAATTTAACTGAGATATGCAATATAATTTACTTATATAATTTTGAAACATAAATTCACTCTCCTTAAATTTAATTATATTTTGATTTGGAAATAAGAGTTATATTTTTAGTATTGCAAAAAAAAACAGCACTTAGATTCGGAATACCTATATATCTATCTTATTGTTCAAACAATACGATGGAATAGAAATGTTTATTTGCATTTTGATCCTGATCAATTATTTCTCTCCGCTAGGCAAGGCTCACTTCGTATTCGAATCTGAAAAATCGAATATGCACAATCAGCTGCTGAAGCAGATCCAGCAGGGCGTGAAACTCAAAACCGTGAAAACCAACGATCGTTCAAGGCCGATGCTGGAAGGTCTTAGAAAATTCCGACGGCAATTAACTATAGAGGAGCAAATACAGAAAGCCGAGGAAACATCCGTAGACGTTGAAAGTCAGGACGAAATGGACGACATAGACGCCGTAAGGGATGATTTGCAAAGCACCAAACAGATGCTCGCGTTGGAGTTGAGAAACAAAGAAGCCTTGGAACGAGATAACAAACGATTGCAGGTAATAAATTTAACAGGCCCCAAGACTTTGGTTTGGGATTATTGGGGCAATTTTAACAGGATTAGACTTTTATACATTTAAGGCATCCTGGTTCCTTAAAAGATAACGAACACCGTTGTCACTTTTCACGAAATAATTTTATGGATAGGCGAGACTTTTGAATCTTGAAGCAGAAGTGGAACATGTGAAGCTTCAAAAGAATGCTCAGGAAAACAAGCAACAAGACGAGAAACTCGCGGAATCCTTGAGGGAGGAAGTGCAGCAAGCAAGAAAGGATGCAGAAAAGGCCGAAAAAGAATACGCTACCGCTGCCGAGGAAAGAGATAAGGCTAAAAATGAGTTAGAAGAAATGAAAAGAATGTATGCAGCGTTGGAAAAGCGCATGAAAGCTGGTATGAAAGATTATAAAATAATTAACATTGCTTTATTAAAAGTTATATATAGCAATTTTTGAAATAATTGCATTCTTAGCTGATAAGCTGAGCTTTCTCTAATCGACTCTAATTTTAATCGCTATATGTATATATGCAAAATATATTATATTTATTCTCTACGCTTTTATGCTAATATGCTTTTAATGCTTTTAGCTCATACTAAAACTGCGCTTCTTTGTTTTGATTTTTTTTTTGCTTTGCCTATGAAGAAGGACTTGCATCAATTGAAGCTGAACCGATAATAGAGCTAGTAGAGGATTGGGAAGACGTAGGCTGGTACAATGTTACAGGAATGGCACTGGCTGGTTGTCCAAGCGCAAAGGACGTAGCTAAAATCGCAACGCAAAAGAGCATAGATAAACAGGATGTTCACAGCACGAGCGAGGAAGAAGAGGAAAGTACAGAAGAAGAAGATGAAGACGAGAATCCAAAAATTGCGGCAGAGAAACGTGCGCAGAGAGAAATCAAGCTACTTATTTCAAAAATTAAGAGTTTCAAGTGAGTTCTTTAAGATGATAACATTTTGAAGTGTATATCAATAATGCGTATAAATGAAATAAGATCGATCGAATATAAATAATAAAAAATAAATAAATAATAAAACTTATATATATATATATATATATATATATAATAAAATATATAAAAGTTTATTATGTATAAACATAAAAATAAAAAATATAATAATAAAAATTCTGAATATAGGGACAAAGCTATAAATGCCAGAAAAGAAAGGCACGCGCTGAAGGAGCAAATCAAACAGCAACAGAAATTATTAAAGGAAGAAAAGAAAAAATATAAACAATTGCAGAAGCAAGTGGATAAAATGGCAAAGCTGATGGGGGAAACTGACGAGGAAGAAGAGGAAGAGGAAGAAGAAGAAGAGGATGAAAATGAGGAAGAGACGGAATCTGAAGAAGAGTCGGAATCTGAAGAATCTGAAGAAGAGGAATCTGATCCTGACGACGAAGAGGCACCTCTTGACAAGCGTAAAAACATTCTGGAAGTATGTCGTGGTGAAAATCATTGCAGTCAAGTGCAAAGTTTGAATTGCATTCTTAAACGTTTGCCTTTTCAGAAACATGTCAAGAAACACGAGGGACGACTGGCGGCTTTGAAAAAGGGAAACTATCTGCTTAAGGCGCAAGTAGACAGAATTAAGGATAATCTAGTGAAGCAGCGAGAGGATAGTCTCAGTCTGCAAGAGGATCTTGATTCCGTCTTAGCAGAACTAGGTTAAACTAGAGTGGAGAATAATTTCCAAAAATGCAGAGATTGTATGCACAATTTATATAAATATCACGTATTGAAATATAGATAATTGTACGAAAGAGAAAAGATAATTACACACATGCACACATACACATATTCGAATTGAATAATTTCCACAAGAAACATCGATATATCCACCATAGAGATGTTTACTGATTTTGTCGCAAAAAACACTATCCTATTGCATAAAATTTTTATTACAGCAGCCTTCAATTCCGTGAAATTAAATGTAATAAAAGCCTATATTAATTAATGCTAAATAAACGTGATTTTTCCAGCTCATAATAATTTCGCCCACAATAATTTTTTCATGATAAATTACTCTTCACACATCGTATAAACACATTACCACATATTACACATAATTATATATTACATGCATAATCGTAATATCATGTTTTTATTATTTATTAGCATTAAATGAAAAATATGGGCTGAAAACTTTAGCTAACAAAGACTGATAATTTAGAAGGCTACGTAAATGTTCATGGAATAGGAATAAGTATCGCACTTTCAAAGATATATATATTAACATTAACTGAAACTGTTAATATCTTTTGATATTAATTAAAACTTTTAAATTGTTAATTTCTTTAACAATTGTATTGTAATGGAGAGAACGAATATTTTTACATATAAGCGCGTACAACACTACGTGGTAATTATTTTTATTTTGCGACTTGTAATGGACATCTCTGTGCAAATTACCGCGAAATATCGAATATTCATTATTCGAGATCGTGGAATAATCAATTGCGAAATATTTATTTTCTTGCGATATCTAAGATAAAAATGCTTCATTTTTTACATAAATATATTTAATATAAAATTATAAATTAATTACGCATTGATAAAGAAACATAGTTTAATAATACAATATATAGAGAAAGAAAAAATTGTTATTTTTAAAGTGCCAGGATATCGTGAATTACGCGATATATATATATATATATATATAATATATATTTTTAAGACACATTTCTCTGCATACTGCATCTTTATTATTATAATATTATTATTCGGAGTTAGAAGATGTCTTTTTTATTTCAGGACAAATTTTATCCACATTGGATGAGTCCGAATAGATTTTCAAATATATAATCGCCCGTGTTGGTCATCAATTTTAACTATAATTGTTACTTCTTATTGCTTTTTCTTCCTTGCCTTGTATTCCTCTATGCAAACTTTAATTATATCTATTTAAAATTTTGTCTTTTATTACAGAATTCTCAATCTTAAGTAGTTGTATATGTATATACAATAAAAAAATCAATTCTATTTTTTTTCTTTTCAAATACTTTTTTAACATTTTCTAACAAATATTTATTATCTAACAAGGATATATGTACTCTCACATGAAATATGTTAATCATTTTTATCCGAAAAAAATCACGATCGAATTTATCACAGATAAATCAGGAAAAGCCAGGAATTTGTTGCTAAAAAGCAAACAATTTATTTCTAAAAATCAGTTATATTATAAATTAATAAGTTTCAGATTTGCACCATTACTTATTGTAAATATTTTGATATTAAACTGCTGTTTGATATTTTTTATTTGATAGCTATGAAAAACTATGGAGAAATTTCAACATGATACATAGATGAATAAGACAACATAGCTGCTAGCAATTAATAAAAAGTATCGTGTATTTTAAAATACTAATAGTATAAACTAGCATGCTAAACAAGATATTTCAATTTTATTAGCACATTAGCATGCTAGTAATTAGTAAAAAACTATTGTGTAAACCACGCTTTACATATATGATTGTAAAAAGGAACAGGAATTATAGAAATTAAACGATGAGGAGAAAATTAACTGTTTTTTACAAATCAAAATTATATTTAAGAATCAGATTGCTATTGCTTTCATGGATTACATGTATTATACAACGTGTTACAGCGTGGCAATTTCGTTTTTAAATTACGCTAAAACTTAAAGCGTGTAAAAAAAAAAGAACACGACTTTTTCGTTCGCAATATATCTTTGATCAAAATAATTACGAATAATGCTTACTATCACTATTTATGAAATATTATAATACAAACATAGTGAAAGAAGAATGAACAATTTTATGTATGATCATATTTATATCGGCATCTAGTTCGCTTATCATTTTATCTTTATATAACATTACATAAGATATTTGTAAAAGATAAACGGAGAAAAGTGAAGAAAAAGATAGATGAAATGTGCATTTTTATAAAAAGCAAATATATGTATGTACGTATGTATGTATGTATGTATGTATGTATGTATGTATGTATGTACATCAATTTGCGTAGAACATCTGATCTTGCCTACACGAGATGCAGCTTAGATAAAAAATTAAAATTCGGAACATACATGTTTTCGACACGTAGAGATGATCTATCTAATGTTACGAAACGATACAGTCACTGTGCATATGTATGTATTTGGCGCGCGTCTATAAATAAATGTGTCTGTGTGATTACAGTTAGTTTTTTGTTTTTGCGATGATTTTCTTGTATATTTTCGGAGACTTATACCAGACAAATAATTATTTCGGTGCATCTTCGATTTCCACAACTGCTATTTGAAAAATACTGTTTTTAGTGAACATGATAGTTCTATATCCTATTCATTTCCAAGTTTTTTTGAGGTTTTAATAAACAAAACTTATCTTTGTAATTTAATTCTAGTCAAGTCGAGGAAACAAAGTTGAAAAAAAATATATGATTAGAACAATGATGCTTTTTACTTTAATTATTTTTACTTTATTTTAATTAATTTGTAAGATTTATATAATTGATTAAGATTGAATTAATGTGAAATAATTAACAAAAATAAATTATATCAAATATGTTTGAAAATTATACGCTTGTATTAACAATTATAAATAAACATTTGCAATAGAAATGAAAAAAAATTGTAAAAAAATCTAAATTACGAAATAATTATTTTCGCATTTGTGTTTGATCTCATTTAAATAAAAATGTTTCCGAATAATAATTCTATGTTAATCAAATCTGTTGTATCATAAAGACGCATGATGTAATGACGCTTACTTATTTTCTTGTGCAAAATAATCGCGTAATAATTTTTATCACTCTAATTCCATGAATGATATCTCTACGCGACGATAACCAGATTGCACTAAACAATAGATTTCTTGTAAGCGCCGCGTTTTTTCACGTGTCTATGAATTCGCTTTTAATCTTTTTTTCTTCCACCAGCTTAACGTCCGTCACATGCAAGTTGTGTTCGCTTTTAGCAGCAAATTTGATGATAGCTTGTGTCGATACTTGGGTGGTGTGTCGGAGGTCCAGGCGTTTAAGTGCCTTACATCTTGCCAAATGTTCGAGAGTCGTTTCGGTAAGTAATTTGCAGTTCGCCAGATTTAACGATGTCAAGTTTGGTAACGATGTCAATTGCGCTACGCCAGAATCAGTAAGTCTACCAATTGAAGAAAGATCCAGGATTTCTAGATCCAACAGATGCTGAACTATGTATTTTACTCCTCGATCTGTGAGATCGCAGCCAGCTAAAGACAGATTTTTGAGATGCTTCAGCCGCGACGTCTTATCGATAAGACCGGGCCTTGAGTCTGTCGGTGAGTCTAGAACTTCTTGCAGTACAGCATCATTTAAAGAAGTAACGTAACTCAAGTTAAGTGTTTCTAAAGGCGGACAGCTACAGCTTTTCAGAGCGCGTACATCGGCCCAAGTGCAGCCTTGAAGAGATAACATTCGTAACTGCGGTAGTCTACTCAACAGCCAAGTTAATTGTATTTTATTAACGTTAGTCCAGTCAAGCGAAAGACTTTCAGGTTGTCGTCGAATAATAGCGGTCAAGTGTACGGATCTCAGATTATAGTGCGACATATCAATCTTCTTCCATAGACTGGGATCTATACCATATCTTGCCCAGGTACGACAGACCAAGGCACAATTAAGTAGATCCTTCATGCCGAGGAATCGAAATATCGCAAGTATCGCCGTTTTATTGTATACCGAATTCTGTTGGTTCGATTCACCATCCGTTTCCTGAATAGATGGTGGTGGTGCCGGCGCTGGCCTGACCACTACGTGCGCCTTCACCAAAGATCTACTGCTGGAAGCGATCAACTGCATAGCCAGTTGAATGCGCTGCTGAGTCATTCTCTGCTCACCTTCAGCTGGCTCCTCAGGCGAATCGTTCCACGTCTGAAAGAAACAAATCAACAAAAACATAAAATTTATATAATACAAGTACATGTTATCTTTATTTTTATTATATAAAAATGCGTTATTATAATATATTAAATATATATATTATATTAAAAATATAAGACATTTTTAAAAATTGAAGATCTGCCTATATATTTTCATAAAATGAATTTACCTCGCTGGGATCAGGCCTCGACCGTTTACTCGGTGTCATAGCCCGTTCGGAATCAGTGGTGGGTACTGAGGAAGCTGCGCTGGATACTGATAATTTTCGTGCGCGACCCTTTGGTCGCGGCCGATAATCTAAGTTTCGACCTCGCTCGCAACACTGGGGACACTCCCAACTGTTTGGCAAATCATCATTCACCGTTATTTCCTCTGACTCTAAACCTATACATTCTGGGTGTACAATGTCGAAGCACATCGAGCACTCCATTAAATTAGATGGTGCCGTGGGGACAGGTTTACCTATAATTATATTTCAAATGTTTAATCTGTAAACATATTATTTGTTATCAAAATATATTTAATTTATTGCAAATCGTGCATATACCCATTAATGGCGCCGGTGGTTGTTTCCAGCCGTCCAATTGACAAACTTTACAAGCTGATGTAACGGGTAGCATAGGCCTTAGGCACTGACGCATTAAACATGTTTGTTTGGCACGACCACTACCACCGAATTTCACCATATCTTGGCAATAAACACATTCACGACAATCCTGTCTAGTGCACGCTTCACATTTCTTGCACCTGGTACGTCTTCTTCGAGGAAATGCTCTCTCGGATTTCTCCGAATGGTGCCTTTGCATTTTTACGAAACCTTTTCTAGTTACTCTCATTCGTTCCTGTAAAAGAATAAATAATGAGATTAAAGAAATATTCGATATGCGTTTATTTAGATTATGTATAATAAATGATAAGTAGATACCCTGTCTGCAATAGTCAAGGGTGGCGGTGGCGGTAATACAGGGTTGCCTGTCACGGCTGATTCTGGATTATCGCTCCTATGCTGTTCTACCAAACATCGGACATCATGAATAAGAGCGACCGGATCTCGTATCAATTCGGGGACGTTCTTCTTCGTTGATGGTAATGAATGTAGATACATAACTATCGCTTTCAAACCATGTAACTCAAACGGCGTAACGTGTATATGCTGGTGCTGTTGTGGAACTGAATGCTGCCGCTGTGATTCAGATATTTCCAAATGAGTTCTACCCAAAAGCACATGCACATATCTTTCGAGGACATACCTGTAAAAATATATAAATGTTTGTAATAACACATTCTATTTAATTATATATATATATATATATATATATATATATATATATAATTTATTCTTACCATAACATTTCTGTAAAGAATGGATATCGAAATTTCTGTGGCACTTTTGTATGCTCTTCCACTTGCGCTACTTTCAATTGTTTCTCTATGCCAAAACTGTGAAGAAAATTTCCACCGAAAACTAAAGAATCCTGAGGAGTATATACTGCGTGAATCCAACCAGTTGGTATAAATAACGTCATACCAGCTGTTAAACTTATCCTGCCACATCTGTCTACCATATCACCAAAAATACATCAGACTGTTTACCACTCAACACCCATTCCTGATAAAGAGTCAAGTTTTTCTCAGTTGGTGGGATTAGCCAAAATATTTTGCCACCACGCAGAATGTGATACCATACACTCGTACCACCAAAATCAACATGAAAGTCAGTGTAACAACCTTTTACTGACATTAAACAGTACTTTTGCACTTTTGGATACATCATGTCTTCTAAAAGATTTGTAGATTCCACTTGAGCTTCCTTCAAATGCCTCGGCCACACTACATCTACCCAATCAACTTGTCGCACTAATGCGGGTGACTGTACATAATTCTCTAACTTGGTGTGACTAAACTCTAAGGAAATCACATTCAGTAGACGCTCTTTGTTAGAATCCTCGTAATACTTCTGCCATTCCTTCATCGTCATATCTTCATTCTTTTGAGTATTAACATCCATAACATCAAGTATTCTCTTAGAACCTGTCGTAAATGTAAAACATTATTAATTTGCCATATATAATGTAACGTATATATTTTTTATACTTGAAACTTACCGACACAGGTCCTGACATCATTGACAGAGAAGTTGGAGCTGGGTACTCGTAATCCCAGCCCTGACTTCTCCTTAAACAACAGCGGTATCTGCAGACCATTCTTCTGCAGAAACCCGAGATTCAGCTCCGGTCCAGTCATCTCACGGAAAAGACCACTGAAATTGTTCAGGTCATATCTCTCGCACTCGATCTTCTCGTCGAGCTGGAAGGTTCTGCGTCCCTCGATTTCCTCGTCGCCCAAGGTCCAGTCATCGGTGTACAGTTTCCTCGTTCTTTCCCGCTGTAAGTAAAATCCATGTAAATCATGAGGAAAAACACGTCAAAATGCCGATTTGTCCTCGAAATTGTCACCGACGTCGCTCGACGCCGGATTCGCGCGTGCTCTTTGTTTACCAATTGGCGCCTCTTCGGCAGCGGAGCGGACTCATCGGCCATTGCGGACACGCTGTCAGAAACGTATCACCGGAATATCATCGGACACTCGGTGGAGGGTCGACACGACGAGTACAAACAATCACGCGGCAATTTTTTAATCGATTGTACTCACGTCTATTATTTACATGTCAAGCTTAACGTAATAATATCACGTACATACGTTCTCGGCCTGTATTCACTCTCCCAACGAAACGCGACCACGCCATCTTACTGCCGGCCAATGCTGCCAACCTGTCAAATTGCACGCTTGTGATGCCTAGACTGTCGCAGCGAACTTCGCGCTCTTTATCGCGAAGTGCTCGCGCACTTATAGTACATTTCCTGTCGACCTGGCTGAGAAAATGTTTCATAAAAGACGTGAAAGAGAATTTTTCCAAAGTGCTCTTACTTTACTCATCAATCTGCGATGAGTGTCACATTTGCATTCCATCAAAAGGGATTGAAAGGTATAATACGTATATATGCGTCTCTTGAATCTCGAAATCTCGACGATTGTTAACGCTCGTAATTTTATGTATAATTATATGTTTAATTTTATTTGTTTTCAGCATCTACAGAGAATTGTGCGGTGAAAAGTTTTAACGCGAATCCTTTGACGCAATATTATAAGATAATTCGAAGTTGTAAAATTGTGAACCGCCGACGAGACATTTTTAATCGCATTTGTCGTAATTATGCCATGTGTGAATAAAATCGCGGGATGCGCGCATGCGCAGTCGCCATGTTTTATTTCCCATCGCGCCGCGACCGAATGCAGTCGAAGTGTAGCACCTCCGCGATTTTCCTTGTAAAAGGGGATATCGTGTTGAAAAAACACATCGGGAATGTCGAACAAAGTGTCGGGCGAGTGTCGCGTCGTGTTAATTAATGCGGGCGAACGCAATTAGCGAACATTAGTCATAATTTTCGTGCTCGAGCAACCGCGAGTGCTTTTTCGGGTTTTTTGGTGAGACGGCTCGAAGGGAAAATAGCGCCAATTCCGGGTAGTGAGTAAATATATTATAAGAATTAACTCTTGAATATTTAGAATTCAAAGAATATTCTTTCTTTCTCAAGTAGCAAGGTATTATTTTTTTATGTATGTGTATTATATCATATCTATATAGTACTTCGTTGATAATTATGATATTGATATATATTAATTACATAGCTCAAAACATTTTTCTTCGATTAAACGAAACTTTTGCTAGATGACATTTAACCCAGCACTGATGTGGCGATTTTTGGGACATTTTATATATAATATAAATTGTCTTGTCTGTCAAATTCTTCGAATTTTCGCGCTTTATTTTCGCTATTCCTTACTGCGCATACGCGTGTAGAATCCTGTGTTCAACACAACACCGATTCGGCTCATGCTCCAAAATTTAGAAATGGCGACAACCATGGAGATCGACGACGACGAGTGTGATTTGCCAACCTCTAGCAGTGGAAAAGGCGAGAAGAAGCGTTTTGAAGTGAAGAAGGTGAGTGGAGATACGTCAATAAATTATACGAAATGGAGATTATGTTCATGCTCGTCTCACGACACAAAGAAAATTCCTAACCTTATTTACGCTTTGTCACTCTTTGTTCTTGTACACATGTGTATTTATTACTTTTCACGCAATTAAATATGATTATTTTTATTTCAGTGGAATGCAGTGGCATTATGGGCTTGGGGTAAGAGTCATCGTCAATCATTACTCAATTATTAGTATTGTACAATCCCCAATGTACAACGACAGTTTTCTAATATGTTAATTTACAGATATTGTCGTGGATAATTGTGCTATATGTCGTAATCACATCATGGACCTCTGCATCGAATGTCAAGCAAATCAGGCATCTGCCACAAGTGAGGAGTGCACAGTAGCTTGGGGTGTCTGCAATGTAAGTTTGATACTTCAACGTTGATGCTAGAATTACATTATACATTAATACTACAATAAATGATATAAGAATATAATGATCTATAATGAATACTATATGAATCTATTGAATTATTGTATAATATAGAGTTGTATATTTAATAATTGTATTTTTCAGCACGCCTTTCATTTCCATTGCATCTCACGTTGGTTGAAAACACGACAAGTCTGTCCACTAGATAACCGTGAATGGGAATTTCAGAAGTAAGTAATTTTTATATGTGTTATAAAATTCAAATTTTATATATCAGTTATATTGTATTGTGTAAGGTATTTTATTCACAAATACTTAAATTATTATAAATATTTATTATAAACTTAATTTAAATAATAGATTTAATAGAATATAAATAAATATGTGCATACATATAAAGTTTATATATTGATTAATTTTTACATTAATTTAAAAATATATAATTATTTATTTAGGATAATTAAAATAATTAGAATTAGTGGATAATTTTGCTGTTTTGCATTACAGATATGGTCATTAACCAAATACAATCAACTGAGCAAAGTCAGCTTTTTCAGCAAGTCACGTTGAATATAATTTTTAATTGTATACTAGAAAATTATTTTTTTATATGAAGTATATAATAAAACAAAGATTTGAAAGAAACAACAAAAGAACATATGCACACGAAACTTTGTCATTTTTTTTTTATTAAACAATTTAATCGATAGCAGATAAATAATTAATTTCACAGGTTATTGTATTTAATTCTCATTAATATATATTGTGTAATTTATAGATTATAATAATAAATGAAGACTCTAAAATGTTTCTGTTGACTTATTTACAGCATTTTTAACTTTTTAAAAAGTGAAAATTGTATATTAATAATTATATATTAATGTAATGTCTTGTTAAATTTCAAAATAATTGAAAAACAAATTTTTTTAATGCGATTTTTATTTAATACTTTTGTTTTTTTGACACTTTTTACTTAATAAAGTAAAAAATGAAGATATATCTTATTTATATCTTATATATATATATATTGAAAATATAAAATATATAAATTTATTAAAAATATATAAAAATATATAAAGTAATATATAAAAAAATAATATATATTAGACATTAAGAGCCGTTTTGACTTTTGGCACTATTTGTATTTTTTTATGATAAGAATTTTTTAAACTATAACCTTGATTAATCCGATTATCCGATCTTTCAGAGATTTCATCTAGCAAAAGTTTCGTCTCGTTCTATCGTAAGGACAGCACGAAGTGAATGCGAATGGAGTGTGAGGTGATAGCTTTATATTCTCCCTCTTTTCACCTCTCGTATCCTCCTTCCATTACACGTTCATCTTCGTGTAATAATTTCAATTCTAAAATAAATCGATTTGAAAAGAATTTTTGTTAAATTTTTACATAAATTAAGGAAGTATCTTACATATTAAATTGATCTTGATTCGTTTAATAATTCGCTTCTCAATAATGTGCTTTTTATTTGAATGAAAATGAAATGAATTGTTTTATTTAAATAAAATATATGCAATGCCGCTTATATGTTAATAGTGGTATGTTTTACAGAATATTATTAATGATATTTATTTTAATATAATTTGATTGTACGTGTTTATTACGCTCGATTCTGCAAATCTATTCGCCGATGCGAATACGTAGCTCCTTAACGAGATATAACGGGCATCGTCGCTCGTGACGTCATATCGTGAGGTCGATCGATCGTACGGAGATCATCTCTCGAATCCCTTTTCCAGTTCTAGGGCATTCAGCAGGAGGCTGGTATACGGAAGGCAATACTTATCAGGCGGGTCGTCCCGACGAGCCGGCTTCTAATCTGGGCATACAGCGAAAATTACATCTTCTTGCACAGGAGAGCCGGTCGACATCTGCCTAGAGAGAGCAACGGTAAGCTTCTTTCATCTCAATTCTTACTTTCTGTCGTCTGGCTCTAGATTTTAGAGTCTTATTTGGGGATTCGAGCGCTGGATAAGAACAAAAAGAGAAAAAGAGCGAGTAGTTTGCGCACCTGTTCTAGCAAAGCTTATGAATAGTCAGGCGTAGGAAGAAGCTCGAGGGCGAGATCATGCTCTTGTACTCGAAGATAGTATACAAGGAATCCGTAGGTGGTCGGTCAGTTGAGCGGATCACTAGACGGATTTTATATTAGTTTATGTCAGAGTTCAAAGTAATTTTTTTAGCGTTTATAAAGACAAATGAGAGATGCATTTCTTTGCGAGCAAGTTAGATGAATGAAGTAATATTTTCAGAAGCACTCTTTCGCACTCAATCGCCCTTTAGAATTGATTTAATTATAGCGAATTGATTATAATTCTTTAGATATTAAAATGGATGACGATACAGAAATATATATAGATAAAAGAAAAATAAAATAGTTACATTTTATATATATGAAAAATATGTAACATTATTAATACATTTAATCTTTATAAAAGAAATTTTAATCGATAAGTATCAATTCTCATTGTTACACATTCTTTTTATTTCTTTTTTATCTAAGATATATGTGCACGTATTATTATAAAATAAAAAAAATTATTAAATTGTAAAAAAAGTCTTAATCACATTTTTATCAGCTGTATTATATGATATAAAGAAAAATAGTTGATCAGATTTAGAATGTTTAAAAATAGCACAGTTATATAAATTAAATTTTTTTAATCCGTAATAAAAGTTACTTTTTATATTACAGTAACATTAAAAGTTATTCAAATATTCTCTGCTTTTGAATATGTATATTCAGGATAGTCAATTATTACTTTTAAATTAAAAATCTCATTCTTCAGAATAAAAATAACTATATATTGCACATGCTACTAATTATTAGAAATAATTATTAGAGAAAAAATATACGTACATATGTATTACAAAATATGTATAATATATTTTAAAAATATATATTTTATATAAATGTTACAAATATACACATGCACACATATTTATTGCAACTAAATATTTATATTATTTTATATAAATTTTATAAATATACACACATGCACACATATTTATTGCAACTAAATATTTATATTTTTGGTAAGAAGAAATTGACCAAAAACTACACTATAAAATTGACCAAAAAATGTGTTATTAGAAAGACATTCAAGTGTGCGTGCGCATAATAAAGAATATATAAAAATATATAGAGAAAATAGAAGATCAAGTATAACGTAAAGTTGTGACAAATTCGTAATAAATAAATCCGAGTGATTTCTGAACGATTCTTGCCGCTTCACACTTTTTTAGTTGTTACGTTCAAAATTTATAAATGTAAAAACACTTCGTCTAAGCGCAGTTAGAGCATGTCAAGAGTAATGCCGCAGCGAGATCGTCGATTTTTTCGGCGTCGTGGATTTTGCTTGTCACAAGCTCGTAGCGGCAGGTGCGTACACTCGCTCGTAATATTTACCTGGGAGCGCGAGAGATGGGAAATAAATACGATTTTCGTCCTCGACGACAGCAAACGAGGGGCGATAGGGACAAGGAGAATAGGAAGGGAGGATGAGAGAGAGAGAGAGAGAAGGATAGAGAGGAGGAAAGGTTGATAGGAAGAGAGTAGGTCGTCGGTGCGGAGGCGCGCGAGGGTCTCATTTCCGGCGGAAACAGAGGTTCTCTCACCCCCGATAAAAGTCGCCCCGCCGACCTGTTCTCCCTCGTCCTCTCTTGTTTCAGTCCGACGTCGGTGGCGGCAAAAGCCAATCGAATTAAATACATTCCCGCGGAGAATCGTCCAATCCGAAGACGGTGCCTCCGCGGTTTTTGTCCCGCTCTGTTCGTCCGCCTCGATACCGCATAACCATCCCTTTTTACTTCCCCTTAAATCTTAGTGTAAATCTACTTTCTAAAGGTAAATTTACTCTGCAAAGCTGGTTAAGGCTGTTAAGCTGTCGTTACTACGCTACACCTGAAACTCGATTAGCTGAAATCCTTCGAATTTCATCCTTACTTATCATAACGCACTACTGATACTTTTATCTTTGAAATAATCCTGATGTTTACAAACGATCTTAACATATAATATTTATGACAGAAAATAGCAGAGTGAAACATTCTATTATGACTAAAGTCTGACGCAAAATTGTGACTATTGTCAGAATTTGCGATAGTAAAGTATTTTGATATTAAAAATCTATATATTCGTATATTAAATATTTACTATACTATATATGTTATTTTGTCTCGCCTAAATATATTATATATTTTATGTATATACATATATGTATGTATGTATATAAATAATATACATGTATGTATTTTTTTGAGAGAAATATGAAAGATTCCCAAATATTTTTTATCTCTTTTTAGTGTGGTTTAACATAATATTTCCTTTAAAAATTTTGAACAAAATTTTAAACACTTGTTTCATGATTTTTCTTTTTATCTTCGCAATTTGATAAATTTTTTCGAATCGAGATTAATGAAATGAAATGAAATAAATAATATTTTTTTGTAATGTTTACGACTCGACTTTTTATTTACAAATAAAACCGATAGTCTTTCCAGTTATCTATTTTATTCGGGTAGCCGATTATCGTTCCGCATGCGAGAAGAGGGCTAGGAATTTTTCAGCGTTATGTATTGTATTATTTAAAAAAACAGTGTTCTTGTGTGTGGTAAAGAAAGAGAAAGAGAAAGAGAAAAAGAGTGAGAGAGTAGTACGCGCAGAAAGCCATCCATTATCCATAGTCCCGATAAATCCCACCGAGGTGTTCGAGCTCCTTGTGTTTGGCGGATATATCAAGGTTTCCTTCACTTCGTCGCGCCGCGCTAGGACGCGATCGCCGTCGACCTTTTCTACTTGTTTCCCCCGCATCGCAGACTTTCGAATCAGCCGAGATTTTGTCGATGTGATTCAGGGGCGGATGAGTGCACCGATAAATCGAGAGATTTTTCTCTCGACCGTTGACGATTGTCGCTGCTTGAACAAACTAATGCAACCTATATTAGGCGTCGTGATTAAAAAATAAAAAAATAAAAAGGTAGCTCGATAGAGATCGATAAGCATGTTGTTCATATCGAAATTTTGAGAAAAGAGACGATATAGTTTGCCATATCAGAATAATATATACTTATAACTTTTCATTTTACTTTGATTGATGAAATCCAAATTATTTTTTATTCTTACAATTATAAATTACTACTTCTCCAAAATTGACAAGTGCGTACCGCTGTTTTTGGTAGACGACAACGAGTCAGCTAATGATTTAAGAGTAAACTTCACAACTTTTGCAAATACTATATATATTTTTTCCGTTAGAAGGGCTCGAAGGAGGCAAGGCGGCTCCTCGCAGATTAATTTTTGCAACTATAGTAGCAAGTCTGATTTGATTTAAATCTGTCCGAGCGCGTACCTAAATTGGCTCCTGCGGGAGACAGCGCCGTTGCCTTATCCTCGCGACTTCTGCCGAGATTCCGCGTTTTTTTCCAGCATCGAGAGATTTTTCACACCGATGTTACGTAATGGTGGTGGTGACTGACGAGGACGCAGGTAGTTGTAGCAACGATAAATCCTCGTTAGATCCGCGAGAAAAACAAAGGCGAAGGTGGACGCCGACCCTCTCGACGAACTGAGCGATATTCTTTCCCTTTCTCCGACTTTCTTACCGCGCGAAAAGGGTTGTCCGTCTTCTTGTGGCGAATTTGTGCGGTTCCGGTTTTGTTATCTTCAGATTTTTCACTTTTATGTCCTGAAACATTAAATTATATCGTATCATTAATGGAGAAAAATAATGATTGTAAAAAAAGTGACTTTACTATAAAAGCGTTATATCATAAATAATTGTTATAAACGCACGTTTATAAAAATTATTTGTTCTTTTTTAATCGTGATGTTTGAACAATTAGGCTAATTGCAACATTTTATATATACATATATATATATATATAATAATTGAGCAGTGAATCAAATATGCTGTAAAACTCAATAATAAATGATAAACAAGGCGTATTAATTGTGGACCTATTTATTATTGATTTGATATCATATATGATATTAATTTTTATAATTCTACTTAATTGATTTTATATTTCTTTCATACATATATGTAAAAATTATATACACTATAGCAATTAGTTGATAAGTGATAAATTTTAATTATTACACACTATTATTTAAACTTTTTTCAATAATTTGAGTAATTTATTCTATTTAAAAAGGATTGAGAAGAAATATAATGTTTTGCATATTTCTTATTTTTCAAATTGAATACTTAAAAACGTCGCTAGTGGTATTTGAAATAGGAACGATATATTTAATTCGACTCAAACTAGCCAAGAAAATTTTTTATTTTATTTCCAAAATGTTTCGATCATCTGTTTTTGGTCCTTTTCAAGTGAAAAACTAGAATGGTACAATTAATTAAAATTAAAATTAATAAACATTTTTGATGTTAAACGCAAAAATTAAAATTTTTTTTTAAATTTAAATTTTAATTAATTGTACCATTCTAGTTTTTCACTTGAAAAGGACCAAAAACAGATGGCCGAAACGTTGTAAAAATAAAATAAAAAATTTTCTTGGCTAATTTGGGTCGAATTAAATATATCGTTCTTATTTCTTATTTTTGTTATGGCCTTGTTATTACTTCCATTAAAGCGATAGGATTTAAGAAAACTTCGTGTATTGTCGTTTTATTTATAGAGACACAGTCGCGAAAAATGCTAATCATTTCTACAGCAAAAGATGTGATTATTTATTGAAATTATTGAAATTAGTAAAGTCATAATTAATTTTACTAATTTTTTACTTGTTAATCGCATAGCATAAATCAAGTGTTTATATATTAGTAATTAATTAAAACGTATAATTTGCAAGATTTATTCGACTGATTTCTATCGCGCGAACAATCAGTCAAGCATGATGATTATATTTTCGGTTATTGCATTTTGCGAATATATATTCTTAATTTTAATTTGTATATTTATTCGTTCATGATGTAATAGTAATCGCACTAAAGCGCAATTGTATACTATTTGTAAGCAACAGGTGTAGCATGATTGTGGTGAGAGGCGCACTGTTATTTTCGAATTCTCTCTGCCGTTCGTTGCATTAGTTATGAATATCATAATTGCCACAGCTTCATGCAGTAAAACTCTTTTTTCGCATTATTCTTGATCTGTGATACAATAAAATGCATATTATGTACAATTAGAAAGTGGAGTGAAAAGTACGACACAATTATCGTATTGTAGTGAAAAGTACGGCACAATTATCGTATCGTAGTGAAAAGTACGGCACAATTATCGTATCAGTAATAGCGCGTAATAATTAACGATGTTTTTGCATATGAGTATATTTAACATAAGTATTATGGAGAAGTAACAAGTAGCCGAAAGAATGCGAGAGAAACTAGGGATGGGAAATAACAGAGTGATCAGACAATGAGTTAATTAATTTATTATATAATATATATAATACATTTAATTTAAACTATTTATTGTAATTCTTTGAATATTAAATACTCGTTTCTCTCGATAGTCGGCATCTTCAGGTACTTGTTATAATGAATAGGCTATTATTCTTGATAATATGCCGCTTTACATTTCATTGCATATATGCTATAGCAATATAATGTGCATATAAAATATTTTATTTGGAAATATATTTAAAAATATATATTTTTAAAATAGAATCTTAATATATATATTATATATGTATAATCAATATATATTATACATGTATAATCAAATATATATCTTTAAGATTTATAATTTAAGCAGAGATTTATTTAAGAATTAGATTTCTATTTATAAACATTTTATGTGACCTCAATAATTGTTATATCAGAATCTTTTATTCAATATTACATCTATATTTATGCTAATATATGAAGAAGTAAAGTTTGTTCGGGGGACAAATCTTTTTAACATAGACTATAAAGTTCCGCGCGCCCAACAATTTTTTGAAATAATAATTAATTTGAACACTTCTATAATTTAGATGTTATATTTGTATGTTACAGACAACGCGTAAAATTTGGGAGTGCCATTAAAAATATCGCGCGTATGAGTGCGGGAGTGCCGTTAAAAGTATCGCGCGTATGAGTGCGGGAGTGCCGTTAAAAGTATCGCGCGTATGAGTGCGGGAGTGTCGTTAAAAGTATCGTGCGTGTTAATCAACGATCCTGACAACCTGAGAGGAGGAGAAGGCCTAGGAGAGGCATCGGGCACCGGCAGAGCAACCCTAAGGTGAATATCGTATATTATTTGTATATTAATTATTACAAATCACATATTAAATTCAGTTAATTTATTCGAATAATTTAAATAAGAGAAATTTAAAGATATATACATTTTTAAGACATATTATATAAATATTTATACAACATAAATCCGATATAAAAGTTTCTACTTAAGAAAATTAAAAATTTTTTAAATTTATAAAATTATTTTATTATATATTTATATATAGTTCATTGTTGTTATGCACCAAATATAAAGTTCGGCGCATTCAATAATAATTTTTTGAAATAGTAATTAATTTGAACGCTGCTATAACTTTGATTTTATATTTGTATGTTACAGATAACGTATAACTTGAACATCAACTACTGAATATCAACCGCTGTTGTGCATCGGTGAGTGAGATAAACTTTTATTTAATTTTGAGGTAACGAATTTATAGATCGTAATTGTGGATTTTAGATTGTAAATTGTAGATAGATTCGTTACCTTTAAATGGATGGACTCGAATGAATTAGATCAAACTTACTTAGATTGGATTTTTAATAGATGCCTTTCATATATATGACAGCATATTACACATACAAGTGTAAATTAAGGTATAAAATATAAAGTATGAAAAAATTTCAATTCAGATTTTACTTATTTATTTTATTTAAAGAACGCGCTTATGATTTAATTAATTAATTATTTAATTTTATTAATTGTCTATAGTAACAATTGTGTTTGTATAAATAACTTATTCTTTTAACAACCGTTAATTATCCTAATTTTTTGTAGTCTGTCCATTTATGTAGTGCGACATATGAAAATGCTTTACTTTGATTGATGTAAATTCAAGTTATCGACCAATTAAATAATGTATGTAATATGAATGTTTTTAATGAATTTTAATTTATTATAAATTTTATTATAAGTATAATAATAATATATATGTAATTAGAAAAAATATCAATGAAATTATTTTTATCAATGACTTGGCTTTATATCAGTTAAAACAAAATTAAATTCAACGATGTAAAACAAACGATCGTGATTTCTTACGATCGTATCCGAGCGTAAAATTACGCTCATCCACTGGCGACGATAATTAGCCTGAAGGAATTTCTCTCATTCATTGAGCTTTCTGATAGAGATCAAAGCTGCATCTCTGCTAAATGTAGCCATAATAATTATGGCCAATAAAGATAGATCCACCCTAAAAAATAGTTGATTTAATCATGTAAATAACGCTATTAAATAAAATACGGATAAATAACGTAAACGCGATGTATACGATCTCAGATTTAATATTTGATATTTCATGTTAAAATGCATGAATAAATATACGCATACAATTCTTTGAGTGTGTATGCATTACCTATATAGTATATAATATTAGAATATTCATATTTGGAATTTATTATTGAGAGGCATTGCGTGGTTGTTGGACACTCTGTACGCGATATTCTTGGCGAATGAATCTCTGGGAGAGCACTCGATAGGCTAAGTAAATCAGAGGCCTTTGGCCAAGAGCGAGGCTACCCTTTAAACCCCATACTAGCTCTGCCGTAGCCCCTGTCGTCCCTTACGTGATGATAGAAGTGGGGATGGCAGGGGCAACAAAGGGTCGGCTAAGAGCTCTTCAGCGACCACTCGCGCACCTTCCCTAACCTAGGAAGCATCATCTACTCTTTGGCTCTGTCGGTCTTGCTTGCTTGCTTGCTGGCTTGCTGCTTGCTTGCCCCATGACGTGATTGCCACCGAAATGTGTTTACCGTAAACCGTATCAAACTGTTGAGGGCCGGCCCGCTTCAGCGCTGTAGCTGTCTATCTTTTTCGAGTACGTCGATAAAAGTACGTATCTCCATCAATTTTGCCGCCATTTATGGCAATCTTCCACCGTTTTCACGAAGTAGATTTACGCGGAATCGATCATTCCAATCAGATTTGTATTTTCTGTTACTGAAATATGTCAGATTATGCTTTAGGGAAGAATGATTGAAATAAGTTGAACTTTGGTATTATTAATATATTTTTCAACACGTGCTAATAAAATTTTGTTTTACAATTAGTCAAAACTGGAGTAAAATTTTTCAGAAATTAACACATTTTTTCTACCTGGTTTCTGTTTGATATAAGCATACGAAACTAATATCTTTATTTAATTTCACAGTCTTACAAATTAATTTTATAATTTAGTTGACAATAAAAAAATTATAGTGAAAAATTACCATAATTATAAAGATTGAAATCGCATAAGAATTTTCCCTTTGAAAACAATATTGGTAATTTTATTGCAATACAATTCTCGTTGTCAATCAATGTGGCACTACATCGGCAATTAAAAGTTTGCATTATTTACGTGTTGGAATAATTTCGATGGCGGTTGGACGATTTCGGTTCTCGCAAATACATCGGACGAGACCCCCGTTGACAAACACGGCAGTTGCATCTCGATAAATATCGGCGCTGCACTCCGATAAATATCACGTTCGACTTTGATAAATATCGGGCATGGTTAAGCGACGCTTACGGGAATTAAAAGCTTATTGATTATCGGAATGTAATTCTCTGGATGATATCCAATTTGTCTATTATCCTTCTACTTATATACCTATCAACCACATTCTTGGCTTGTAAATTAATCAGAGATTAACTAAAAAATACCGACTCGCATGATTTTATATTGTTTTATTTAATTGAACGGTTCAGCAGTTTGTACATAATTACTCGCGAGGATTCATTGCTTCAAGTGCAATGAAGCACACTTTATAAGGGCACGACGTGATCGGCTAACCCGAGATTCTTGCCGTCAGGAATATGAAGTGCATTTGGGCCGTGACCAGAAGCAGCCTGATATCCGATATAATCGTCCTGAACAGGCCGGAAGCTATTTCCGCCCCAATTTGCAATCTAGTAAATACCAGTGAACCAGCGCCAAATACCACCGCACCCAGTCTCAAACAAAAGCTGGCTAGTATATCTGCGAGAGTCTCATTGTTATCGTTTCGTTACGAAACGTACCGTTGCACTCTTTCTGCTACAGGAAGAGATTCGCTAAATTGTTGCTATCCTTTAAATTGTTTCACATTTTAATCATGGAACCGTCAGCCTAATTAAATACAGGTTTTAATTATATAAATTTTTATTATTTTTATTTCAAATATAAAACTGTCATTGTTATTTGATTATTTGATTAATTATCGCGTAAGCAAATTTTGATCAAGGTGAAAGTTTGATGATGTCTTTGATTATGTTTTTTCCTTAAAAAAAAGTGTGTCTGGAAAATCGTGTTCAATGTAATTAAAAAGAATAAATTGAAAAGGAAATTTATTGCGATAGAAATTGTTTTCTTCTAATAAGAGAAATGAATTGATATGTTCACAATTTGAGACAATTTGGAAATAAAGAAGAAAAGACAATTGATAATGAAATAAATATTAGCAAAAAAATATTATACTTTTGAAAATTAAAACATTGTTTTTATTAAAATAATAAATGTTTTTTATTATAATTTACAGTCTTACTTTTAATATTTATAGCTGAATAGAATTATTTTTTAATTTGTAGGGCAAGAAATTTACTTTAAATCGATTCAAGTTTATTTTCTTACTACACGCGAAAGGATATACATAGAAACAATATAAGATACACACACAAACACATACACTGTATAGCAAATAGGAGATGCACTTACGGTTCAACAATGTTGCCATGATCTGATCCGGAGCAACTGGTACTCTGTGGTTAAGATTGGTCACGACTGGCACAGCTATTCCGACTACGACAAGCAGTTTCGTGTAAAGCACATCCATGATTGACCCAAGTGCTGCGATGTTTCTGCTTATAGTCAGGTATATTCGATAGTTTCGTAATAAACCATTTTGTTGTTTGCATACGATTTTCTTGATCAAAATTCTACTTTATAATTATTATTTATATATAATTATATAACCTTATATACCTATTATAATATATTATATAGAAAAAAGAGAAGAGAGCGTATTTATACATAATAAAATATAACAAAAAAATATAATATACATTTAAAATATTACTTTTTCCAATTTTTAATTAATTATCGAAATGTTCTGTGGATTGTTTTGTATGGTAATCTTCAGATTATTTATAAAAATAATCTGGTTACATAAAAAGAGCAAGAAAATATCACTTTTATTGTTAGTGTATTCAATTTGCATCAATCGAAATATTTTCTTCGTGTTGAATATTTTATCGATATCATCTTAATCACCTTTTCACGATTCACACGATAGATGAGAAAACATTATCTCGTAAGAATTAAGAATGAAATTTTCTCACAAGAGTGAGAATGGCAATTTTTTGTAATCTATGATTTTTTTCTCGCCAATATTAGTATCTTGATACTTTAAGAGTTCTACAATGTTCTCGTACTCTTCTTTTTCTGAACGAGTTACTCTATCATAAAACGCTCTATTCTGATTTACTTTACCTTACATAATGAGACGCATTCGTTGCCAATCGCGAAGACCAATAAATGCACATCGCGCGTCCGCAAAGTTACAGCTTCCATCCTCTTGCGAGTGTCGCAACAATCGTTTCCGTTTATTCACCGACAATGCGCCAAACTTTCTAGTTGGACCGCGCGCTGGGTAAGCTTGGCACGATGTATTTGCTCGGCTGTTCTCGCGGCCGGGAAACTTGGAAATTTATTCCCGGGGAAAATTCGCGCGTTTGAATTTTTAGCAGGCTGACGTCTAAAAGTTTCTTTCTTCCTTATGGTGGCAGCGGACCGTCGCTTACCTCGCTCGCTTAATCGTCTATAAGAAAGTGATTCTGCCAGAATCAATCTCCCTCTCTCTCTGTTTTTGTCTCTTTCCTTTTCTTCAGAAAAATGGGGATGAGAAAGGATCATGAAATATCCAAGAATCTAGTCGTATCGTTATATTGTTCTTTACTGTTTTCATCTTTTCGTTACATAAGAGAGACGATTGGATCGATCTTGCATCGTTTATTTTGCTCTGAATACATTCTAATAAATTGAGTATAGTTTGTTATCGATTTAACGCGCGTCTGCAAAAGGAAATTAAATCCTTCGTTCAGAACAAGAATATATATTCTAACATTGAAATGTTTATATCGATTATAATTGATTCTTATCAACCAATATCAAGAATCGATCATCGATGATTTTCATTACTAAAATAGTACGATCTTATATAGCCTTTTATATATAATGGCTCAGTGAAATGATAAATCTTATATTTTTAATATAATTAATTTTTAATTTTTAATATTAAGCAAATGAATGAAATAATACATAATTTTCTGTAATTTTGACAACGTTAAAACAAGATTTTCAAGCAGCATTGACTGCTCTCTTCCTTTTACCTTCGCCTCGTTGGATTGTAATTCGCGACGCATTGATTCGATGTACGAACGTATGACGTCGACATTACTGTACACACAACGGCCGTAACTTCGGGAACTTTTGTTTGAATTATGTTGAACGAATCGTGGAAACTGGTGACGCTATCGGTGCGTCAGTCGACAGAAACAGTCGTAATGTGCCACTCGAGTTCAGTTCTGTCGCCGGCAAGGCAAGGCGGTAATAGCGTTGCAGGCTCTGCAGCAGCTACCAACTACTACTGACGATACGAATCGCACAAAAGCCCGCTATGCGAACGTCCTTTTGTGTGTGTGAGAGAGAGAGAGAAAGAGGGAGAGACAAAACAGAGAGAAAGACACAGATAAGTTTTCTTTTATCCAGCACGCTTGCTCCACAAATGTGCGGGCTCACCGAAAATTTCGTTGTCGGAAATCGAATTCACGCTTTTGTCACGTCAAAAATCATTTCGAGACATTTTCAAATGACAATAGTTAAGAATTAATAAGAGCGACAATTATGTTAAATATACAAGATTCGTTTTGTATTATAATATAGGTATATGTGCGTGTATAATATAGGTCACGAATAAAAATATGAAATATACATATATAAAAATGCGGGCAAAAGGGATGCCGCTTTTTTTTTAAATTAGCGTCTTTAGTTTCTTGCCAGTGAATTTACACAAAAATCAATTACTCGTAAATGCGGGTCGCACGTTTTAATCATACGGAAATAGTGGGTGTTTCAACGTTGAAAATTACATGACATATATACGTACGTCGAAGTTGCTATTATCATTGGTGTATTTCACATCAGCTCGAGCTGAAATATTACAAAACGACGCGGCAATTGTTGAAACGGTATAGAGACACCTCGGTCAAAATGCGGTTTCGCGCATCGCGTTTAATTGCGACGAATTTTATGTCGATCAAATCGGCCGACGCGAATAACGGCGAAAATTTATTGTCGCGCTAAACGACGCGCCTTCTCCCCTCGCCGCAGGTATTCTGCTAATTATAATCGCGATATCCGTATTATTAATCGCCATTATCGATTGTATCATGCTCGACGCGCCGCCGATGACACGCAGGTTGACTTTGCCTGAGGCCTGGCCGGCTTGCGAGGCGTAATGCAGCTGATCATTATTGCCATAATCTCGTTAAACAACATTGTTAATAAAATTATGCTGATTCCAATAACAGAGATAGAGATGTGAATATTGCGAGGAAAATATTAAGAAAACATTCAATTAGTTCGAAGAGTGAAAATTCTAAAATTGTTAGTATAATTTAAATCTTCTGGAAATCAGTGATTATATTAATAATTACTATCCAACTATTGGCCTCATCATAAGCATGTCTTTGATATTTGTTCTGGATCCATCCGAATCGAAGAAAAGTCTTTGCGTTCGCAAATAAACCGCTGCAACAATTGCTATGGAAGGTCGGCCGCGCACTCAATTAGTTCGAAGAGTGAAAATTCTAAAATTGTTAGTATAATTTAAATCTTATGGAAATCAGTGATTATATTAATAATTACTATCCAACTATTGTGACCTTATCATAAGCATGTCTTTGATATTTGTTCTGGATCCATCCGAATCGAAGAAAAGTCTTTGCGTTCGCAAATAAACCGCTGCAACAATTGCTATGGAAGGTCGGCCGCGCACTCAATTAGTTCGAAGAGTGAAAATTCTAAAATTGTTAGTATAATTTAAATCTTCTGGAAATCAGTGATTATATTAATAATTACTATCCAACTATTGGCCTCATCATAAGCACGTCTTTGATATTTGTTCTGGATCCATCCGAATCGAAGAAAAGTCTTTGCGTTCGCAAATAAACCGCTGCAACAATTGCTATGGAAGGTCGGCCGCGCACTCTCGATTCCATTCACTCTCTTTCGTTTCCCCTGGAGCGATCCCGCGTTCGTCACTGCCGGTAATGATGATAACGAATCGCTGTAATAGCGAGGCGGCCCGGCGATTCGTTTTCGACATCGGCGACGGCGCCGTTCTCGAAATCGCGCAGCTAGTCGTAGGAACAGCCCCCGGGACGATTATCGGAATCGATCATTCAATTTCGCGTTGCAAATTGTCCGCGCCGGAAACTCATATCCGGGTACTTCCGGTTCTGCCTGGTCCCGCCCCCGGGAAGAGGAAGGTCGGCGCCGTCGGGCCCAGGCATCCAGTGGAGGGCTGGTTAACGAAGCGGGGGCACGAGGGGGATGAAAGGGAAGAAGAGACAGACGGGGGAGAGAATCGCGACGCAGAAGTCACGGATGAGGGGTACGGCTTCATCCTGACGCGGATGAGCGGTGAACTCGCTTCCGTTCCGCCCTCGAATCCACCTGCAACCGTATTGCCGCCATTGAGTTAACATTCAATTATAATGACTAATGATTAATTTTGTTTCTTCTCTCATTACGAATTTTATAATCGAAGGAAACGTTAATTTTTTTGAATAACTGCATTCTTTGCAACATCTCATCTTCATTGAATTTTTCACGTGTGTTGATGTCAACTTGATAATGAATAATTATCTTTGACTTGTCATTGATCATATCAATCTTTATATCGATCGGAAAGAGTTTCCTTCTTCTTTTCCGCGTCGACTTTTTATTAGAGAATTTTTGTCCGTCGTTGTTGAATTTCATTAATCATCGTCGAATTTAACAAGAGCGACGATTCATACTTTTTTTCTTTGACCTATTATTAATTTAGGCGAGAAAGATTTTGTCGCTCAATTAGATTTAAATAACTTAAATAAAAAGTTAATATATATTATTTGAAAATCCTTGTTCAAATCTATAAAATGTTTACGCTCGCACATCTTTCACGATATAAAATGATATTTCTCACGACGTGGTGAGACCATTGCTGGATTGACATATTTTCCACAACAGCCGCTTATCATCAGCTAGATTACCGCGACGTAATCGTCGACGGACGTGGCAACCGCCGGTTCAGGTCCGCCAAAGGGTCCGTGAAAAATAGCTGCGACCTTTCCCAGAGTAACGACCAGGTCTTCGCAACATACACGAAGGACGTGTATTAATCGTCAGCAGGTGTCAGCGTCGCTCGCTCGCGGTCTGACCGATTTCATCGTGTATTTCGACACGCATACATTAACACAGTGTATACATATGCGTGTATGCGTATATGTTATTCCATTTATTGCACGATGGCAATCGTTGATTCCGTCATGAGCTACCTGCCGCGTGTAGGAACGAAGGAGGAGGTGTGAGTGTCGGCGCAACATCAATCGAGCCGAAAACGGTCGACTGGCCACGCGGTGTTCTCGTTTTTGAATAACAATCCCGCGTCATAAACCCGTCCGCAAAACGGCTATTTACCTACCTATCTACGTCTCTCTCTCTCTCTCTCTCTCTCTCTGGCACGTTGATGGGACCTCTTCTCTCCCCCTCCCTCCTGATATATTCCTGTTTCCCCGCGCGACTCTCAGTTATACCCTCTGTATCGGGTGGGTGGTTGTGGCGGCGGTGGTGGTTTCATCGACGACGTCTATTGGAAA